GTCGGATGACTCCAGAAAAGCACAATGTCACCCAGGACCTCAGACCAACCCCCCTCAATACTCCTACACGAGGCCTGACCACTCACTGTGTGGTCTTAGCTGGGGTCACACACACCCCACGTGCATGCCCTGCCACCCTCCCGCCCCAGAGCCTGGTAGTAGCCAAGGCAGAGCTAGGCCCCCTCCTGAGCCCATCTGGCAAGCACCTGGATATGCAGCTTCATCTTGGGGCTTCCCATCCCTAGGATTACTCACTGTTTCCTGAGGACCCCAAGCCCTCAGATGACCCCTTGCCTCCCTCCACCCTGCTCTCCCTCCTTTCACTCAAGGGCCTACATCACAACCCTACTTCAGTGGCCCCCTAGGCCCATGCTCAGTCCTTCTCAAGGATGAGAAGGCAGGCACCAATCCACCTCACATCTGGAGGGAGAGAGAGGCGGATCCGGATTCGCCCTTCCTCCCCCAGCCCCAGGCCATAGCCCACTGTGCCCTGTTGAGCTCTCCACGCTTCCCACCTTCTGGGGCTTCCAGGCCCTCCCCACCCCTGCCCCATACGTGCCAGAGCTTTATTTGTCCCAGCAGCCAGTTCCTACTTTGTGGTGTTTGGTAAAGGGAGCCCGCGCCTTCCACTTGATGGCCCACTGGCCTGTAGTCTACATGAATTTGTCCGTTAGTTCAGTGTTACAGCTTTTGGTGAGGCGGCAAGAATGGAAACTGAGACTCAGAAGGGGCACAGGAAACTGGGTAGGGCTTCTGTCTCTCAGTCCTCCCTCCTCCATCAAGCCGAACTGCCTGCATATAGACCAGGTTTTGCCCTCTCCAGTCAGGGAAGAATCAAATACCCACTTTGCCAGACTGTCTTGCTCAGCTGGTTTAAATTGCTACCGACCCTGAGCGAGCGAAGAAGAGTTACTTATCTTTTCGTGTTTACCCTGATGAATCAGCGCCGCTGCCACCCTCCCCTTCACCTCTCCCTATCCTCTCCGCACCCTCACCTCAGTCCCCCTCTCCTCTTCCTGCCCCCTCCCGCCTTGGTCGGGACCACTCACTGGGCTCTGCAAGATCATGGTGACGCGCTTCTTCTGCTCCATCAAGTTGAAGTCCTGCCGCAGGTCCGCAGCGCGGTTGCGCAGGCGCATGTACTCAGGGTCCTCCTCTGAGAAGCGGTCAAAGTAATGCTGCCCGTGGGGGGGCGGCGACGAGGCAGCCTCGGGGACTGTCTCTTCACTCATTTTCCTGGTGGGTTTGCAATCCACTCCTGGAACCCTGCAGAGGAGGGAAGGTGAGAGTACAGGTTAACCCTCCCAAATGGGGTAAGCATTTCCTTAAAGCAGAGGGGTTGGATTCGGTTGGATTCATGATGGGATGCAGCTATTCCCAGGGCGGCTGCTTAGAGGGCAAGACGGCGACAGCTGCCCAGAATGCGTCTATAGGGGGTGCTAAAGCATCATCACCCTTTGCCTTGCATCATTCCGACGCATGACGACCCCATGTGCTACAGAGTAGCACTGTACTCTATAGGGTTTTCTTGGCTGTAATCTTTATGGAAGCAGATTGGCAAACCTTTCTTCTGGTGCAGCTGGGTGGTTTCTGATCACGAACCTTTTGGTTAGCAGCCAAGCAGTTAACCATTGCGCCACCACTTAAAGCATTATTAGACTAACTATAAAGATTTTGGTGTAGGGCTCAGGTGTCCGTCATCCCTTCACTAAATACCTGGCCAGGTCTAAACTGGTCACACTCCAGCTATAGTAGATGATGCCCTGTGTGGACACTTAACTTGTAGACCTTGTTGAGCATTTCTGTGATGTATACCTACATAGCGTAAAGCTATTTGCTCGGAATCAGTACTTCATCTAAAATGTAAACCCTCTAATAAGCCTCCTAAAACAAATTGGTGGGAAATTCACAAAAGAAAACTGAAAAGAGAACAAGAACTACTAATGGGTGGAAACACTTTGCTGAATACTTTTAAAACCTTTGCTTTGGTTTCTGGAAGGGAGCTATTGGTGAATCTTTTTCAGTAAAACGTTTCTTAATGCAGAATCAGATCCTTATTTCAAGTTTAAAGGAGGTATGCAATTTTTGCTAATGGAAAATTAGTTTCTCCTAAACCAAACCCATTGCTGTCGAGTTGATTCTGACTCATAGCAACCCTATAGGAGAGGGTAGAACTGCCCCATAGGGTTTCCAAGGAGCAGCTGGTGGATTCCAACTGCCAACCTTTTGGTTAGCAGCCAAACACTTAACCACTGCGCCACCAGGGCTCCGAATTTCTCCCAAACCTCACTAAATAAATATCCAGAAATATTAACAGAATAAGTACTGTTTGAAGAGTGCCAAGTTGCCATGCTGCCCAGAGGCCCACAGGTCTCGTTGACGTAATCCCTGGAGTGAAGACCGAGGCAGGCTTTGGAGAGTTAAAGTGGGAAAAAGCCACATGTTTTTTCTACTCAAGCATGCTGTTTAAATGACTGATGAGTGAATGGATGTCCTCCATTGCTATAGTGGAGGCCCTTCTGAAGAAGCAGGCTGTAGCTCCAGCCTCCACTCCCCAGCTATGTGGCTCTGGCCAAGCCAGTCTCCCTTGTGTCAGCACTGCTAGGCCCTTAAATCTGGACTATGCCCCTTCAACACCCAGGGCAGCCTTATAGAGGGTTAGCCTTCCCCTGCTGGCTAATACCCTTCTCAGCAAAAAGAGCCAGGTGATTGAACAATAACTAGATTTTTAACATATATAAAATCAGCAGGTACTGTTGAGTCGATGCTGACTCTTGTCGACCCATGTAAGTCAGATTAAAACTGTGCTCTATAGGGTTTTCAGTAGCTGATTTTTCAGATCACCAGACTCTTTTTCCAAGGCACCTCTGGGTGGATTCAAACTGCCAGCCTTTCAGTTAGCAGCCATGTGCTTAGCTGTTTGTGCCACCCAGGGACTCTTTAATATATAGGAAGATACAAACAAAAGAGCATTAAACTGGGATCAGGACACCTGCGTTCTCACCTTTCGTCTGCCACTACCTGGCTTTACCTCCCTGGGTTCCCGTTCCATGAGGGGGTGGAGTGCTTGCTTGTTCTCTCTACCCTCCTGGCCTCCCAGGTTTTATCTGCCCTTCATCCTCGGTTGTGGTTGCCCAGGGCCTGGCTGCCTCCAGGGTCCGAGCTCCAACAGTCCTGTTTGCCCCAGCCTTTAGCCTTCATCCTGGCCAGCAGCTCATTACAAAGGAGGCCTTGCCGGTGGCCAAGAAAGCATATTCTTGTTGTCCCTGAACTGCATGTGACCTCTTCTTCCATCTGCTGTCAGGACTCCACCCTTACAGCCCCTCTGGGTGGAGGATGGTGCAATAGATAAGCCCACAGAGGAGAGGTGGGAGTCCACCCCATCCCAGAATACCCAGAAGATTTTTTTTTTTTTTTCATTCTTCCCTTTGGGGACAGGCAAATATCAAGTTCAAGGAAAGGCACATGGAGAGAGTCCACAAGGATTGGCCTAAAGCGGTGGTTCTCAACCCTGGGTGCACAGTAGAATCACCAAGAGCGCTTTGGAAAAAACACTGATGCCAGAGATCCTGATGTAATTAGTTTGAGATGTGACCTGGACATCAGGATTTAAAAAAACTCCCCTAGGTGATTCCAATGAGCAGCCAGGGTTGAACTACCACTGGCCTAGATGTTAAAGGCTGTGACGTGTAGTGGAAGGTATCCGTTCCAGGTGTTGGCCACTTTTGGCAAGCCTGCCAAGCACAGCACAAAAATGTTTCTAACCCTAGGGCCACAGGCCACTTCCCATGGCTGTCCAGGCCCCCTCCTCCCCTCACACATCACCTGGCACTGCACACCCAGGCCCAGGACAGCCCAGGGCCTCCACATACCACCTCGACCCCACCACTCCGAGGCCAAACCATGACCCTGATTTTAATTATTTCATTCATTAGTCATCTTCTGAAACCCTTGCTGAATCTCTCCCAGCCAGCATCACCTTTACCAGTCGTGATGATGAGATGTTTGGCAGCAGGGACTAGGGGACAGGGGAGGGAGTCTGCTGGGAGTAGCAGCCAAAAAAAGATTCTCTAAAGAAATATTTTGAAACAAAATTGGCAGGTTGCTAGAATGGTTGATGTAATACTTAGTACCATTTAAAGCTAGACACTTTCCTTTCATCTAAATGGAGGGAGAGTAATTGAGTCAAAAAGGGATGTTCCTGGTGGAATTAGCTCTGGACTCAACCCTGAGGCCTGCAGGCTCACCCCAGTTCTGAGTCTCTAGCTGCATGGGCTTCAGCAAGTCATTTCCCCTTTCTGGGTCTCACTTTGCTCATCTCTAAATGAGGGGTGAACAGAATGACCTCTGGGGTCCCTTGCAGCTCTGACACGGTATGATTTGTCTGAGTTGGAGAGGGACGGATTCGTATAGAAAAGGCAGAAGGATGGATGATCCAAGTTTCCTGGAGCAAGAGACCTTCTTCCTGCTTCCCCCCAGTGCCTCTCCCTCAAGCCAGATGCCAAAAAAGACACATCTGGAAATAACACATGCAAGCAACTGGCGGTTACCTTGAGGCTGCAAGTCAATCTCACATGCATGTGGTGAGTTAATAACACTTCGCCTCCATTGTGCTCCCCCCAGCCTCATCCCTGGAACATGGGCAGTAAGAAGGGAATGTAAGGTCAAACCCAACAGGAGTGCTTGGAGCCTCTCAGATATGCAGTCACATTCCAGACTGTCCTGGGCAGGCAGCACTGCAGACCAGAATGCTTCCAGAGGGAAGCATCGCCCTACTGCACCGCGCCTCCTTTCTGCTGAGTGACTCATCAAGGCGAATTAACTCTCCCTTGCACTTTCAAAGCCCTGAACCTTTGATATTATTTTTAAAATAGCCACAAGCAACTCCCCGCCCCCAACTCCATCCCCACTGATTGGACATGAGCATGGGGATGAGCTAAGGCCTGAGTTCCTGATGACTCCAGTCCCACCAGCTCCAGAAGCACCTGAACTCTCAACTTCTTTGGAGCCTTTTGGCCAACACAGCCTGGGACTGAGCCTTCCCAGCCTAAATCCTGTCCATCCAATCAGGGAAAGGCTAATCCTTTCCCTTTCCCCTTGGAGAGGCTCCACTTCCCGAGGTCAGGTGTGTGAAGGCTCTGAAGCAGTTCTCCCCTCCCCAAAGCACCAGGAACCAAGAAGTTCTGGGCCTGATAGACAAGAGCCCTCCCCCTCCCCCGCCACCATGCACTGGCCTGCTTTTCCTTCTTACAGCCCAACCCTCAGAGGGCTGCTCTAGGGGAGCTCTGATGAGGGTAGGGTTGGAGACAGAAGCCCTGATTCCATCCACCACCATGCCAATAGGGGCCTGGGCAAACCCTTCAGCCTTGTGAACCAGAGGCATCTGGTTCTTTCCTTCCTTTCCAAAACCATTAGGTAGGTGGTCAAAGTTGTACGCAGCATAGCTTAGGGGTAAAAGCACAGACTCTGGAGCAAGACTATCTGATTCAAATCTCAGCCATGCTACTTATTAGCTGTGTGATCTTGGGCAAGCTATTTAACCTTTCCGTGCCTCAGTTTCCCCATATATAAAATGGAGGTTATAACAATTTCAGTACCTCGTAAGGTTATTGTGAGGATTAGACAGGTTAATGTATGTGAGGTACTTAAAACAGAGCCTGTTGCATAATAAGTGCTATTAAGCATTTGCTATTATTATGTGTCATTTACGGGCTAGAATCATCTTAGCGTTAGGAGCTCGAACAACGAGAGGCTTGTGATTCAATTGTAAACAGGTGCACATTAAATAACTATAATTACATGTTTTAGTCCAAAAAAAACTAATTCAGTCTTGAGCTATATTAACAAAAAGAACATCCAGAAAAAGACTGATGAGAATGCCTACTGTTTTCTGATCAGACATCAGTGGGAACATGTCAAACTGGAGGCCACACAAAAGTGGCTAAGCAGGATGCTGAAGACCAGAGGAGACCAGCATTTGTTGGACCAGGCATGTTCATAATTCATTTTCATTCCCAGAACCACTCAATGTGGCAGACAGTTTTGTCCCAGTTTTACAAATAAAGAAACTGAGTCACAGAGCGGCTAAGTAACTTGCCCGAGATTGCACAGATAACAGTGGGGCCAGGATTTCAGCCAGGACTGCCTGTGCAGATCCTGCATGCCTCCAATCCATATTGTCCCCAAATATCTATTGGGTAGCCACGTGGAAGAGGCATTAGGCTGATTCCCTACAGCCTCAGGGGGCAGAACTAGGAACTCAGTGGGAGTTGCAGAAAGGCAGATTTTATCGGAGTGTGTGAGAGAGAGCTTTCTAAGAGCAGGAGTGCTCAGGAATGGGGAGGTGGAACGGGCTGCCTTGTTAGGTGGTGAGTGCTCGCTCGCTCCTCGGAGTCGGAATGACTGCAGGGTTGCTGTAGGGGGCTTCTGCCGCTGCTGGAGGCTGGACTAGTGACCTTGAAGGTCTCTCCGAGTCCTTATGAGTGGTAGCTCACGAGTGAGCAAGAGGCGGTAGTTCATGGCAACGGCCTGAGTGTCAGGAGGCTCATCCTGCTGGGATGTACCCAACCAAAAAGGGTGCATCCCCCCGTCACCACCCAAACTGCCAACCAATTACCAGGACGCTGGACCAGCCTCGTCCAAGGCTCGCTCTTCTCAGTGCTTGGCTTGCACACCCTGCTCCACTCTCAGGGACACCGACCGAATCTACACGATTTCAAACATCTGGAAGGAGCTGGAAAACACAAAAACGACAAACATCAGCATCTTGTCGGCACCCCTGTAACTCTGAACGATGTTTTTGCAGCAACATTTATTTTCGCAGCACTGATTTATTTATTTATTTTATTATTTATTTATTTTAGCACTGATTTATTTTAAGGACTGCTGGGAAATTCTTAAGAATTACCTTGAATTGAATTTTTATGTTAAAAGCAAATTATGTCTATAAAAAGGTAAAGAATGCTTCAGTATCTCTGTAGTTGGGATCAGAATTCCTTTTAAAGGGAAGAATTGGAAAAGTACTGAAGCTGGCCATCCAGGCTTCAGAGAAGAGGGGCTGCTGCGTGGGAGAGGGGGCAGAATGGGAGCTCCTGGGTGAGTCCAGACGGAGCCGCAAGTTGCTGGACTGGAAGGAATATGACCCCCTTCCTGATACTCCCCAAAATACTTCAGTAAGAGCTAGGAAACTCAGATGCTGGTATGAGGGATTTTGGGTGGAGTCCAAGAGGCAGAAGAAGGTTGAAGAACATCACACCCTGGAAAGTAGGAGGGTTTTAGAGTTCCACAGGCCATGAATTGGTGGATTCAAGACAATTTCACCTAGAGTTCAAGGAGGAGAAAGGCCTCAGCTATACACATGGGGTCGCCATGAGTCGGAATCAGCTTGATGGCAACTGGCTAATACCTGGGTAGCAGGTCATAAAATACTACGGAAGGAGGAATGCAAAGTTGTTAATATCTTACAAACAAGGGTGAGTGACTTCTCCAAAAATCCTGAGGATCAAGTTCTTCAAAATGTTAATCATTAAATTGTTTTTCTTTTTGAAATGCCAAGTGATAGTTTTCCATTTTCACTTGGACACCCTGTTGTTTAGACCCAGAGGTGCTTGGGACTGTCCCACCCAAGGCTGGCAGCACCCCCAGTACCTGCCCCACCACCCACTGCCACCATGGCTTGGAGGTGAGGCCCTGCCTGTCCTGACCATTGGCCAGCTCAGCTCCTTTCAGGTGCTGTGACCGATGCTGCCCAGAGCGGAGCCATTTGGAAAGACTTGCCCCATCAGCAAGGTACAAGAATTGTTTTATTAGGTACGGTGTGCCTAAGGGGAGCCCCGGACACCTGCACACCCACTGAGGCACAGCTTCCTCCTCAAGGAGATGAGAGGACCCAGGCTGTAGCATTTCAGGGCTTGGATGTTCCTGAGCCCAGTTCTCATGGTTGCTGCTCTAGTTAGGGACTTGACAGTTGCTTCTAGGAGCTAGTCTCGATGCTCTGCATGTCCAGCTGCCAGCTGGGGCCCTCCCTCCAGTGATTTTATTGTTAGCTAGAACAGGGTCACAGCCACAACTTGATGCTGCTTCTGTCCACTGCACACCAACACAGGAGCCCTCCTTTCCAGGGCTGGCCCAGGGCTGCATTTGCTGACACACCTCTGGAGGCCATCCTTTGGGTGTGTGGCCACAGCCCTCCCTAAGGGCTACAGAAGGAGCCAGCTACGTTGTCTCACCTGAAGCACTAGCTTCCCTACCTTCCCCAGCAGCCCCGCCACAGGGGTCCGAGGATACCCTGGGGCAACAACCTGCTAAGATTTCAGAGTCTAAACTATTTCTTGTGTCCACTGAAAGAATTAATGCGTCACCCCCAGGAGTGACCTCTGCCACTCATGTAAGAAGACAGACAAGTACAGATAAGTACACACTGTATACTTATCCCCCAGATAAGTACACAATGATTCCCATCCCAGTCCTCAGCGGTGTTGAAATTCCACTGTTAGAGCTCCAGTCCTTGGGTTATGGTGTGATTCCCTGATTAAGATGAAAATAGTCCTGAGAGGTATCGTAAGCAAATGTATTATTTGTAAACCATTCTTCTGTGGCAACAAAACTGTCAAATCTCTAATTGCTGGCCCTTAGACAGGCCCAGAGCAACAAGAGGTAATGAGGGAAAGGGAAGAGAGAAAGGCCTGACGCCAATGCCACACAGAAGTGTCCCGGCACCTGGGGTAGGGCTGGTGCCCAGGTGGGCCTTGAGGGATCTTGATCTGACAGACTGTTTGAGCCTTCTCTAGCTCTGGCACCAAGCCCAGCATCGCCACCCATCAGCCTCCAGGTTCCCCAGCGTGTGTCCCACAGCTGGCTCCTTGGATACCCAGAGCTCTGAGACCTTGCCCACCCCAGCTTCCAGCCACCCACACCCTCGGACAGAGCTGAGAAGCAAGGGGCAGTGTGAGCCACGGTGCCCCAAGCACTGGGGGCAGGGACATCAGCACCAGGGCGCCTGACAGTTCCTGAGGGGTCAGGGCCACCTGCAGCCTGTTCTCAGTGTACTGTCAAGCTGTGCTGTGGGACTGGTCATCTTGCAAGGTGGGAAGACAAATGGTAGGCCTGTGAGGGAGCCAGGACACTGGATTTCATCCTATTTTGCCACCCACTAGATTGCGAACCTGACCAAGTCATTAAAGCACTGAGGGGCCTTTGTCTACCCAGATGTCCTACAAACCCAAACCCATTGCTGTTGAGTCAATTCTGAATCATGGCGACCCTGTGTATGTCAGAGTAGAACTGTGCTCCATAGACTTTTCAATGACTGATTTTTTGGAAGTAGATCACTAGGCCCTTTTTCCAAGGCACCTCTGGGCGGACTTGAACCTCCAACCTTTCAGTCAGCAGCCAAGCACCTTAACTATTTGTACCACTGAGGGACTCCCAATCAATGTTAGTTGAACTAAAACTCAACTAACATGAATTGGGATGAATTAGGCCAGTTTAGCAAAGGAGCTCTGCACCAGCTCCACGGGTCCCAGGGGTGAGTAAGGCCCTAGGGGAGCTCACAGTACGGTGCTGGAGACAGACCCCTAAGCAGCCTGTTTCAGGATAAGGTGCTGAGTGTGTTAATGGAGGTTTGCATGGCAGGTGATCTGGCCAGTGTCCTAGTACTCAGTCACCTCCTTTTACATAAAATTCTCTTGTCTTATAACACAAACGGCTGGGCTCCTTCTGACAGCTGCTCTTCTTGCCTATTTTGAAGCAGAATTCCAGCAATTGATTGCAACCCTCAAACTGACAAATCTAACTCCATACTGACTATGGGGGGACATAGGAGAAGGTAACATTATACATCACACACCACACACAGCAATGCCCTTCTCTCTCCAAAGTTCATTTTCAGCTACACCCTTTATCTGACTCCCTTACTCCTCCCCTCATGCAGCCCTTCCCCTGCGCCCTGCCCCCAGCCTCTTCACCCTTTGCTCCAGGAGCCTGGAGCTCCCTCTCAGCATCTCCAGTTTGCATCCTCAGACCCTTGAACCCTACTCAGCAAAAACCCTGCTGGGGATTCAACCTCCTGGGAAGGCAGCAGCAACTGTAAGTAATGAAGCATGCTTCCTATCACAGTCTTCTTCCCTGCCCCATGAAGATCAGATATATATAACACTGAAGTATAAAACCACATTTTTATGCATCTTTCACTGTGGCTCTAAAAGGAACAGAAAGCCTATAAGGTGAGTGACAGATGCCCAAGTTGTCTAATTTTGCTAAAATCAGTTTCAGTTCCATGCACCCCAAGGAGAAGCGGTGCCTGTCTCCTGCCACGTCGGTGGGAATCTCAGACAGGAACAGTCTGTATCGCTCAGCACCCTGAGCCCAAAGACGCCACAGCTGTCACTTTCCACCTGCCCCACACACCACATGGACACGGCTGCTCCCTTGGCCATGCCAGCCTCTCAATGCCCCAGGTTCCTAGCCCCACGAGTCAATGCCAGGCATGGACAGCATTCACTCCAAGCCTTACACTTGAACTTGGAACCCAAACTCACCAATCCCTGAGAGACTTCCCAAGGGGAGAGAGGAGACTGGTATGGCCTTGCTTCTGCTACTTTGCAGAAGAAATGGAGATGGCTGAATAAGGAGTGGACCACACCCTGCCTGGTCTGCTCAGATAAAGAGAAAGCTCATGCCTCTGGGTGGTGGGATCATGGGTGAAGCTTATCATTACCTTCCTAAAAGCCTTCTAAGTTTTCCAAAATTCCACAGTGGGCAGTAACTACTGTGATGATCTAGGACAAAAAAATTGTTTAAAAGAATAAAGAGAGAAGGAGGAAGAAGAGAGGTGGTGAAGCCTGCTTCTGTCCAGTCTCTGGAAATGCTGTTGGCTGGAAATATCCTTTAATCCCAAGTGCTGCAGACTCAACAAGTACTTATTTCTGAGCATCCTTGACACATGCTTTTCTAATGAAGCCCAGTGCATTTTTAAATCCTTCCATCAAAGGGTCCCAAACCTAATAGTCAGTAGACCGTCTTTGCCATTTCTCCTTCTATCCAGGAATTGCACAGCAGTGGATGAATGGACCCATCATTCTTTATCACTCACTTGGAGTCAGTTCTAGTCCCTTCCACTGGACAAGAAGAGTTATTTCTTGAGTATCTATTGGTGGCCAGGAGGTGTGAGCAAGAACTAGAACTGGGTGTGAGAGGGAAGATGCCTGAAAGAAATGAGATATGGCCCCTGCCTGCTAGAGGCCCACAGTCATGTTAAGGTGGAAAAAATGAATACAAACAAGGTCATGTATGTTGTTAGCTGCTGTTGAGTCAACTCCAACTCGTGACCTTATGTGCAACAGAACAAAACGTTGCCCAGTCGGGCATCATGCTCATAATCACTGGCATGTTTGAGTCCATGGTGATGGCTGTTGTGCCAGTCCATCTCACTGAAGGTCCCCCATGCCCTTGCTAACCCTTTATTTCACTTAAAATGATATCCTCCTCCATCAACGGATCCCTCCGGATGACGTGTCCAAAGCAAACAAGTCCAACGATGTTCTTTGTGATCCATGAGGTTTTCATTGGCTAATTTTTGGAAGTAGATTGCCAGACTTTTCTTCCTAGTCTCTTAGTCTGGAAGCTCCACTGAAACCTGTCCACCATAGGTGACCCTGCTGGTATTTGAAATACTGGTGGCATAGCTTCCAGCATCACAGCAGCACACAAGCCTCCACAGTACAACAAACTGACAGACGGGTGGTGAGTTATATACAGATATATATACATATATGTAGATATGTAATCAATTGCTAAATGCAACACAATATACAGGTAAATAAAAACTAATCCTGTGATCTGAAATGAATGTGTTCAATGCTTTTTGGAATGGGAGACTAGAACCCCAAGGTCCACATCTAAAAGGACCATGGTCCTGAGGTAGACCTGGAGGGAAGAAATTATTCAACCAACAAAAGATATTAAACCCAAATAGGTGCCTGATGCTGTGCTGGGCGCTTCTCTCCAGCCCTGAAGTGATGGGCCCATTGTCCTGGTTTTTCAGGTGAGGAAATTGAGGTTCCAGGAAATTTAGGGACTTGATCAGGGCCACAGAGCTAGTGAAAGGTAGAGTCAGGGTTTGAACCCACGTCTTTCCACCTCACGCCATCTTCCTCCCCTCATCCAAATTAAGGTGAGCGGATGCAAGGGGCCTGGTAGAAAGGTGGGGAATGGAAATCAGCAAATGGTCAAAGCCCAGGTTCCATATTCCTGGCAGAAGCCATGAGGATCTGACTGGCACCTGAAGGATGATTCCAGCTCCTGTTTCTGTCACGTAGGGGCTCAGAACTGAGCTGTTCCCCCACCCAAAAGAAGATGGGGATTAGGAGGCAAGTGAGAAATGGGCACCTCCAGCACTCACTCTAACAAGGGGTGCCATGCTGTTTGGGAAAGAGGACCCCACTGGCCCCGCAGGAGGGCTGGTGGGCTGTGGGGGTGATGGCTGGCCGTGAATCACCCACTCCCCCAGCTGCCAGGTCAACCCACCTCTCATACCTGTTTGTTCTTGACTCAAACACCATCCTTTCCCTGCCATGAGCTGGTTCGCCACTAGGTGGTAATTCACAATTCCTGCTCTCAAAAGGTCCGTGATGTGGGGGGACCCCACAGAGAGATCATTACAACACTTCATATATACAATAGGGAGAGGAACAGTACCCCCTCATAGGATAAGTGTAAAAATTAAATGATATAATATATGAGAGCTCAGGCTTTGTGCAACCAAAAAATCCAGCTGCCATCAAGTCAATTCTGACACATAGTAACACCATGTATGTCAGAGTAGAACTGCTCCACAGGGTTTTCAAAGGCTGATTTTTCCAAAGTAGATAACCAGGCCTTTCTTTGGAGGCACCTCTGGGTGAACTCAAACCTCCAACCTTTCAGATAGCAGCCAAGCACGTTAACCATTTGTACCACCCAGGGACTCATGGGTTTGCTCAGGGCCCGACAAATAATGAGGGCTCAATAAATGTTAGGTGCTATTACTCCTCATGGAGCCCTGGTGGCACAGTGGTTAAGAGCTCGGCTGCTAACCAGACAGTCAGCAGTTCGAATACACCAGCCGCTCCTTGGAAACCCTATGGGACAGTTCTACCCTGTCCTATAGGGTCACTATGAGTTGGAAGCGACGGGACGGCATCTAACAACAACAGCACTACTCCTCATGTGGTTTATTGACATTGTAGCAATTGATTTTTTTTTTTTTAATCACAGTCTGGATTCCATCTTGCCAGCAAGCATATATCTGGGCTGACAGCCCCATCAAATGTTCTCAAAGGAATGTCAATGAATCTGTGAAGCTGAGTGTAAAAGGGAGGTTTCGTCTGTTGCTAAATGTTTGTACTGTACTCTATGCACTCTAAAGATACAGGTAGATTTTTGTCTAATGCTCAGTCTTGAACGGTGGGTACCACTTTTCCATCTTAGCAGATAATTTAGAGCTTCCAGTGCTAATTACAATGCTTCTTGCATCACTGGTGAGAAGGCCCGGACTGCAGGTTTTTCCAGCTAATTCCCTGACCTCTTTGACCAGCAATTCATTATAGGCACAAAAGACTGTGTTCAGCCCATCTCCTGACATGCTGGTGGCTCCAGAAGGGCTTCTGGCTCTTCTTGGCGGTCAAGTTTGAAACTCAAGAGAAAGGGGTGGGTTTTTAAGTCTGGGAAAAATAAACGTGGCAAAGAAGGGCAAACCAAGGCAGAAAAATTATGAAGGGTGTTGTCTTAGTTGTCTAATGCTGCTGTAACACAAATAGCACAAGTGGGTGACTTTGAAGAGCAAACATTTATTTTCCCACAGTTCTGGAGGCTAAAAGTCCTGATTAGAGTCTCAGCTGCGTCGATTCTCTTCCTTGTCAGTAGCCCCAAGTGCTCCTTGGTTCCTTTGCGTTCTTTGGCTTGTACACGATCTTCACGTGGCATCTGTTATCCCCTGTGTGTGTCTCTGTGTCTATTCTGGTCTTTTTATAACTCAGAAGTAATTAGTTTTAGGGTCGAGTCTGCAATGGTATGCAACCCTGGTGGTGCAGTGGTTAAGAGCTTGGCTGCTAATCAAAAGGTCGGCAGTTCAAATCCACCAACTCCTCCCCGGAGACCGTGTGGGGCAGTTCTACTCCGTCCTGTAGGGTCGCTATGCGTCAGAATCGACTCCACAGCAATAGGTTTGGTTTGGTTTGCACCTGTATGACCTCATTAACAGAACAAAAGAAAAACCTGCTATTTACAAACGGGATCATGTCCCCAGATACAAGGGCCAGAAATTCAACACATATTTTGGGGGGACACAATTCAATCCATAATAGATGTGGAGAGGGTGAGTGCAGATTTACTCACCATATCCTAACATTGGAGCAGTAGGGGAGGCCCCATTTCTCAACCCTCAAAAAAAGGGCATTTAAAGCAGATTAAATGAGGCTTCACATACTGGTTAGTAAACAGATGGAATGTGTTAGCCCAAGGCACAAAACAGACCAAAGTGCCAAGAGCTGAAGCCATATTAAATACCCATCTAACAACCTTCTTTGGTGATGAACAGCTACATGGCATTGAGCCATGAAAACTGCCTCATGGAAATGCGCACCTACACCAGTGTTAAATGAAACAGATGTTGGGGGGAATAAATGTTTTAAAAGTGCCTGTTAGCCACAATGTCCAGGCATTGTGCTAGCCTCTGTCCCGCCATGAGCCTGCCCCTGTGCTGGGGCTGAGGGACTTGGGGAAGTCCCTCCACCACTGTGCGCCTCGTTTATAAATGGCAGCCATAGCAGTACCTATCTCATGGGAAATGTCCCACCTGCATCAAGGTGGGGCCACCCCACCCCTTCCCTTTCTGGGTGGCCTCTTCATGAGGGATTCAGAATGTGGCTCAGCTGCCAGGTTCCTAATGAAGCTGTGTCTGTGCAGGGCAGGTATGAAGCAGTGCCCCCACCTCCACCTCGACCCCCATAAACACACACATGCATGTGGGCTCTCGAGAGCTCAAGCCAGGTTGTGTGTCCCACTGGGCTGTTACCAAGCACACCACAATGGGCCTGGTAGCATCTCCTCTTGTGGCTCCTGGGCTGTTTTTGCTTTTGGGTCTCTTTGACTGGAACCTCCTCTCAGGGTTGCAGGACTCAGCTCTGTATCCTCTAGAGATCTGGGCATCCACCCTGGGTGAGTTGTTGGAGAGAGACCCCTACCAGCTCCTGCCCTGAGCATTGTCTCTGGCCATGGCTGTGCATGTGTTCCTTTGACACAAATGCAAGGCACTGTGCTACGTGCTAGTGACTCACTGGTGAGTCATCTGTGGTCCCCACCCTCCAGGAACCAACAGCTGGGGGATCCCCAACCTTTGTGCCATGTGGAATGGGGGACAGGACAGTTTCCAACACTATATCTTGGCTATCTTTGAGCCCAATCCTCCCTAGGAAGTGGGACAAAGTCCCCCAATGCCACCTCTCTCCTCCACCTCCCTTCCTTTCTGCCTGGAAGATGACCTTTTGAACCCTTTATAATTTCAGAAACATTACTGTGTAATGGCAAAGAATGCAGACTCTGGTGCAGACTGCCTGGTTTTTATCC